TGGTTTAACAGGTCCTTAAGTGCTTTCTCCTGGATTATGAGGAGTATATCGTGCTCTCCATCCCCATCTTCCAGCTCAGGGGGCTGAATACCCTGCGGATACCTGGTCTGGCTATTAAAGACTGAGGCAAAGAAGGCATTAAGTACCTCAGCCTTATCCTCATCCTCGGTGACAATGTTCCCCGCCATATCCAGTAAGGGATGGAGATTCTCCTTGCCTCTCTTTTTGTTCTTAATATATTTTTTAAAACATTTTTTGTTATCCTTTACGACTGTGGCCAGACTGAGCTCTAGCTGGGCTTTTGCCTTTCTAATTTTGTCCCTGCTTGACCTAACAAGATCCTTGTACTCTTCGTGAGTTGCCTGCCCCTTCTTCCAAAGGTGATAAACTCTCCTCTTTTCCCTGAGTCCCAGCAAAATCTCCTGTTCAGCCAGGCCGGTCGCCTTCCCCGCCAGCTCTTCTTATGGCACATGGGGACCGCCTGCTGCTGCGCCTTTAAGATTTCCTTCTTGTTTGTGTTTCCGTTCTGTTGTGCAGTTGTGCTGGTTGTATGGATGTAATGGAACACACTAGCAGTGTGTCTGCCCGTGTGCTTAGCGCAGGAGGGGAAAAACAGTTGGAAGGATTTTACTGAGGTTATAAAGTTTGGTCAGCTATCCCAAAGTCAAACCTGACTCCAGGAGTACTCTTCCTCTCAGAAAATACTTGGCAAGCGTAATAAAGAAAAAGGAATAGTGATCTCGATTCAACTCTGGTACAATTGCATTCAGAGCCATGAAGTTTCTTTATATAACTGGGACTGAACAAGCCTCAGTAAATAAGAACATAGAAACATAAAAATCAGATTAGCATAAGAACAAGGAAAGGATCAATGTGATCACTAAGGATTTGTTCCATCTTGAGGAAACTTATTTCATTTTAATGTCCATGTGGGGCTTAGAGTCCTGGTTTGTGAGACAAAATAAAGCAGAGCTGCTTTTGTTTATCAGGCAATAGTATCAACAATAGTTTATTACTGAGAAATAAGAAATTTATCTAAAAATCTAAATTAATTTATCATCTGAACTATATGTGTAAAAGCAAGCAATTAATTTGTAATGGAATTATCTATAACAAGAGTTTGTGAGGTTAAAGGTGCATGATTCCTGAAAACAATTTTCTTTTAAAGCCTAGGTCCAATCTACAGCCCTCACAGTCATTTGTGCAGGTAGCAAAATGGCTATTCGTTGAAGTACTACGTGCTCTTGCTTGCAAGTCGGGATTGCAAAACAGAGTTTGTCCCTGTAGAACCATTGCAAATACGGAAAATTATTTCAACGCTTGTAATTATTTCAGGATTAGTCATCAATAATTCAAAAATGAAAAGTTAAGCTTTTGTCCATAGTTTTTCTAGTAAAAAATTACGAGTCATAAGTAAAATAAATCGAGTTACAGTTGAAGTTGTTGTCAGCTAGTCTTGTGACTGCGTTCTCCAGTACATGCAAACTAATTACAGCTAAGAGTCTTAAAGGAATCTCATGCTGGCAGCTTGGCAGCTGCGATATCTTCTACTTGTGGTCACTAAATTTTACTTGTGAGGTGCTGAGCACCTTCTATGGATTCCTTAGCAATCCCAGCTATGTGTCAGAGTAGCTGAAGGAGTTTGCTTTCTTGCATGATGGGATTCATGATGATAACAATATTCTGGCTATTCTGTGAGCTGAGGAACTGAAATGGACCTCTGCTGACAACTACCACTACATTTTTAATCTCTCTGACTTAATTTTTTTCTTTCTGTGTCAGTTTGCAGCTGTAGAAATCTCTCAGGGAAAAATCTGGAATGTATTTTCATTAATGGTCCAATTTTCCGAGCGCTTTTTTTTTAACTCATTGCATCTGCATCCGTGATAGCTTTTCATGTACAGTACTGCTATTAAGCTTCATGAAAATAAGTTAAGCAATGAGAGAAACATTTGCAGACATTAATGCTTAAACTTAAGAGTTTTATCTTCTTTTATTATGTATGTTATGGGTATAATGATGATAATACTAAAAAACCACAGGATTTTGAAAAATACACTCATCAAAGGGCTGTAAAACAATGGGAATTATGAATGCCTAATGCCAGTTGCAGCTATTTTGTTTGTTGTTTTGATTGATGTATAAATATTTTATAGACAGTCATGAGGCTGATGTCAGGATCTCACAGATGACAAGACTCAAATTCTAAATGGAAAGACCAGATTTTCTCTTCTTACCTTAAGCTTCTGTGTACATATAGCTATTAAATCAGAGACTGAACTTAAAATCTTTGAAAAATCTTATTTGATTTCTTAATCTGAGTTAATCAACCTGGTCTCCCTTTACAGTCAATGGAGAGAAATATGTTATCTTCAACTGGTAATTTATCTCTTCCTAAAATAGGTACCTGGGATGTCAGATGACCTGCCCTTTGGTCGTTCCTCAGGTATTCCTGAGAGTAAGGAAGCCTGGGGATGTTAGCGTAGGGGTACCTGTCGAACTTTTGGATATGGGCAGCTGGACCAAACTCATTGCTCAAAAGGGAGAGATTTAACTTCTTTCTTTTACTCCCTTTTTCTTTTCACACCGTTCCTGGTTTTTTGTGTGGACGTAGTTGGTCTGCCAGCTCTTAAGGTAACTTAACTTGGTGCTTGCCATTGTGTTGCCGTTGTTTATGTCACAGAAAATGAGGTGTTCAAATCATGTTACTTTCGCTGGATGGAAAAATCTTTGTTGTGAAACTGGAATGGCTCCACAGGAATCTGTCCTCACAAGTAAGGAATGTGACAAAAGAAAAACAGGGTCAACTTTGCTCTCCCTCCTGATTTTTGGGATTGCTCTTTTGATTGTCTGGCATATTAAAGAGGGCAGAGCACAGACTGATGACAAGCAATGCATTGCCTCTTTAATCAGTTTGCACAGAGCTTATTTAATCTTGTGGCAGTCAAACAGTTACAGGTATTTGTGCAGAGTGAACATTCATTATAATTAGTCTGATTATCCCAGTCCCAAGGAGTCCAACTAGGAATCCTGCCAAAATGTGTTGGGAATAGGCATTGTCCTTATTAACTTATTTATACATTTAGACAATCTCTTGGTAAGTGAAAACATTGTCTTTAAGCCATGTGGCCTTCCAACACAATATATTAGGACTCAGTTGTAGCTTATAGGCACAGTACACAGCGGCAGACCGAAGCTCTGGATCCCTCAGCACAGGAAAGACATGGACCTGTTGCAGCAGGTCCAGAGGAGGCCACAAAAATGCTCAGAGGGATGGAACCCCTCTCCCGTGGGGACAGACTGAGAGAGCTGGGGTTGTTCAGCCTGGAGAAGAGAAGGCTCCAGGGAGACCTTATGGCAGCCTTCCCGTCCTTAAAAGGGGCTTGTAAGAAAGATGGGGACAGACTTTTTAGCAGGGCCTGTTGCAATAGGACAAGGGGTAATGATTTTAAACTAAAAGAAGGTAGATTCAGACTAGATATAAGGAAGAAATTTTTCACAATGAGGGTGGTGAAACATTGGCCCCGAGAGGTGGTAGATGCCCCATCCCTGGAAACGTTCCAGGTCAGGCTGGACGGGGCTCTGAGCAACCTGATCTAGTTGAAGATGTCTCTGCTCACTGCAGGGGGGGTAGACTAGATGACCTTTAAAGGTCCCTTCCAACCCTAACTATTCTATGATTCTATGAAAGCTGCCATCACAGAATCTAAGTAGCTCAGTTTTCAATGCAGTTTGAGCCCCTTGATCTCAAGGAGGCTTGACCAGCACTTCTCTGGCTGGAGCTGCAAACACAAATTTAAGTGCTGAAGTTGATTCTTTGCTACATCTTAGAGAGAGGATTTGGTTGTTCTACCTATTCCTCAGCTGCAATCTTTATTCCTTTAGAGATGATTTGGTTGTTCTACCTATTCCTCAGCTGCAATCTTTATTCCTTTATAGCCTGAGACTCAGAAATGTCATCACAGGTACTAAGTACTTTGCAAGAACCTGCCTTCTTGTTCCCAACCAATAGCACAAGTTCAGTTTGGTTGTGACAGCGTGCAGACTGCTGTAGCCCATTTGCCTCCTATAGGTGCAGAATTGTTCTGTGCATGCACTGGGGACATATTGATGTATTTCTTCACTAGGTCTAATTTTTTATTTTTGGCGTTATTTACCTACCCACCACCAAGAAGCTCCCTATTGTAAATCTAACAAGCTTGTTGGTTCAGCTTCACTTTTGTAATCACTCCATCTTCCTCAGGGCAATATTACTAAAAATACACCCAGAAGACCTAAGAGCTTTCCTGTTTTTCCTTTCCTCCTTCTGCCCTCCTTTGTCATCTGTCTCTATTGTTACCTGAAATGAAATTGCAGCATAGTTTTGGATACAGGTTAAGATCACCATGGCTATTCAATTTAGTTTTCTACTACACCTCATTGATTTAGTCTACAAACCCTGTCACTTTTCAGGATTTCTTTTTCACAGGACCCTGCTAGATTTGAAGAGCTTCACTTAGTTGCTTACAATGTGAATGTGAGCGTGAGCAATCACTCAAAGGAAGAAGAAAGTTTCTCACTATCAACTGCTCTTTCTTTGATGTGTAATGTCTCTGTGGATATTTATAACCAACCTACTCTTTCCTTTTGCCTCCGTTCCACGTTAAAATTTTGTTTTCTGAGGTTGGGAGGAACTGTGGGCACAGGGTGCCTTCTGATCTGTTATACTCTGCTAGTATAAAGACGAAGGTCAGTGAGGCATCCCTGCAGGAGGTGGTAAGACTAAGAAGAATCAGGTTCAAAAGTTTAGATGTGCACTGTAGAAAAAACCTGCATATGTACAGCCTGTCTTTCAGGACTTCCAGTTACCCGTCGGCAACTTTCCTTCAATTTTGGACACGTTTCAATTGTCCCTGATGATAATTCACCATACATTTTAGTCTAACACAAGACAGGCTTCCATACTTTTTATTGTTTGACATATTACTAACATGTTTAGCTCTGGTTTGATTTTCCTGTAGTTTGCAAGAAGAAAAACGGCTTCTGGAAAACGTATATGAAAGAATTCCAAAACAAAGGGTAAGTATGAAACATGAGAAAAGCCATGGTTTGTGTTCTGTCACCTAACATAAAAACATCAATGAAAATGTTTTCAGAATGTGAAGGTCTAGAGTTTTTTAAAATCTGGAATACATAGAAAAATCAAGAGGTAGATTTTATAGGAGAGGCTATATTATATTATTCAGGTTTGATAACTCTAGGACAAGCTAGATCTTTACTCTAGTAAAGATCAAGATCTGGATTTTCTTATGTTTACTCAAGAAAATTTTTTACTGCATTCAGCAAATGGATACTGCATGTAAAGATAGCTGTCAGATATTGGTTCTAGGATGCAAGTACGGAAAATACATTTGCAGTCATAAATCCTGATGGATCTGTGTGGTTTTGTTGGAAATAAAATTCTGCTGGTTATTGATCAAAAAAACACACAGCTGGTAAAAAATTATGTTTCATACCTGTTGTAAAAAATTTTATTGTTTAGTGTTATTGATTCTGTAATGTCACAAGCCTGCAAAATACAAAAATTATCTGATCTTTTACTTCATTGTTAAAGGAAGCAGATAAGAAAATTAAACAGTTGAAAGAAAATTGTGATGAGCTCTGCAAAGAAGTAATCCAAAGAAAAGCAGAAATTAATGCAATAAAGGAAGATGTTTCATCCAAGCAAAAGCTGATGTTAATAGACAAGAAGGAAGTGGAAAAGATTCTGGAGAAGCAGGCTAATTTAAAAGTAACACAAAATTAACTGTGTGTATGTATATCTGTCTGTGGGTGCACGCATCTGTGTGTATATGGGTACATGCATTTTTCCGAGGAAACGGTGAATCTTCTGGATGTTGTTTGTCATTCCAAATTCATTAGATGGCATTACATAATATATTACATCATTTTTCAATAAGCATAAAATATGCTGCCGTGCCATATCCATTATTACTCCTTTAGGAAATAATAATAGTCATGGTTTTGATTACAAAACTGGTTTTTATAATGACATGCTGTATTGTGTTATTGTAGGCTGCTCTAACATATGCTGAGATCCAAGTTAATACAGATTTACACTGAGAACTGAAAAAATATACCCAGGTCTTTTCTGCTTTCCTTTCCATGGTATAGATCACAGAGTCACAGAATCATTAAGGTTGGAAAGGACCTTCAAGGTCATCAAGTCCAACCATTAACCCAATGCCACCATGCCCCCTAAGCCATGTCCCAAAGTGCCACGTCCACAGGTTTTTTGAACATTTCCAGTTATGGTGACTCCACCACCTCCCTGGGCAGCCTGTTCCAATGCCTGACCACCCTCTCGGGGAAGAAATTTTTCCTAATATCCAATCTAAACCTCCCCTGGCACAACTTGAGGCCATTTCCTCTCATCCTATCACTAGTTAGTTGGGAGAAGAGACCAACACCCTCGTCGCCACAACCCCCTTTCAGGTAGTTGTAGAGAGCGATAAGGTCTCCCCTCAGCCTCCTCTTCTCCAGACTGAACAACCCCAGTTCCCTCAGCCGCTCCTCATAAGACTTGTGCTCCAGACCCCTCACCAGCTTTGTTGCCCTTCTCTGGACACGCTCCAGCACCTCAATGTCCTTCTTGTAGTGAGGGGCCCAAAACTGAACACAGGATTCGAGGTGCGGCCTCGCCAGTGCCGAGTACAGGGGCACCATCACTTCCCTAATTAGATAATGTAATCAGATGTATTAATAATATTCAAGCATAATTTTTATCTTGCAGACAAAATGAAATGGTAAACGTCATAATGTTTAGTTTCAAAACTAGCAGCTACAATTCCTGGGGACAAGCTCTAGTAGTTTGAGAATATGTTTCTTGTTATATATATAATATAGACGTGTTAATATAATATGTCTATTTTCACAGCATTTCTAGGTTAATATTATTTCTATGAAACCTCACCAGATTTTGAGGCTATCAAACTAACTCGTCTGTTTTGTCACTAGGATGAGCTAGTTAAGATCCTCGGTGTTCCAGCACAACTTGGAAAAGAAACTGAGAAGACAAATCGGAAAAAAAAGTATGCTTTTAATAAATAATTATATATGAATACATATGTATGTATAACTTCTTTTCAGCCATTTGTTACAGAGACAGTTGTGTATACTTGTCGATTAAAATTAGGATCAATATCTTAAAAAGCATCTATAATCCACTTTAAATCCATGCACTGTACTGAAAAATATAGTGTATGCAGTGAAATCTTTAAAATTTAAGTACAAGAAAGCAGAATATAGAACAAAGCTTGATCAAAAATTGCTTAACCATCTTACTGTGCTGCATTACTATATATCAGTTCTCTTAGTAGATTTTTAATGGAAAATAATGTTACCATGTAATCTAACGATTAGGCTTTTTTACAGTTTCTAGTCCTCAGTGACTGTATATTAGTTTGTCTCTATTGGCCTCAGTGAAACTAGCAGCTTTCACAGCTAACCTGGCCTGAGCTAAATAATCATTCTCCCTCAATATTGCTGTACCAGTTTTTTAGTTAGAGGTGCTTTGCTGTAAGCTCCTGACGTGAATTCTGGTCTCTAATATTTCAACACGGAAAATGTCGCCAGTAGGCAGCTTTTTCTTTCTCTCTTTTGCATAGTTGGGTGTTTTTCTCCCCTGAAGCATGGCATGTGCTGCTTTCTGTATGTGTAAAATCTAATTAGCACTGTGCAGTTTCAGCCAGGTCCCTGGCAGATCCCATCAGTCCACTTGTCATCCAGATGAACGGTGCTTTTTGTACCCTGTTTGGGTGCAGCATTACACTGAAGTTTTTGTCTCCCTGCTTGCAGTCCCTGTTTATAATATAGAAATTGTTTGACTATGTTAAATTCCTCAGTTTTAAACTTTTATAATGGTTTTCTACATTTTCTTCACTACTCTGCCATCATAAATATAAGAAGTTTTTCCTATAGTGTTGCAGAGAAGCAATTTTAAAAAGCTAGTACATTGTGTAGATTGCTACTAATGAAGTATTTCAACGAGTCTTTATACCCGCGTCACATCACAGAATGAACTAACAAGAGTTTCCAGTCTTGGGAATAATCTTTATAAGTGTCACACCCATGTACCTAAGAATGTTGACAGAAATCAGTTTACTAGAACTCTTTTTAATACTGTCATGGTGCTAAACTCCCTGTTAGTCCCCTGGCTATCTGCAATTTTATTGGCATTTGAAGATTTTCACTGTATGTAGTCTGCTTTCAAATGTATAATACAGATAGTTGTGGTGTGGAAATGATTTTATGTGTCTATGAAAACTGGCAACTTGCATTTTGCCATTTTAAAAATGCATGTGGAAATGTGAATCCCTACTTTTTTGTTAAAATATATCCACAGTGATGCAGAGAAGAAGAAAGAAGCCCTTAATGACCAAGTAGAAGAGCTGAATGGTACCCTGAAAGCCATTGAAAAAAGGACTGAAGAGATTTTGCAAGAAAGAGAAGATGTAATGAAGGAATTGGATGGGAAACAAATTTTGCTAGAAAGCAAAGAACGAGAATGCATTACTTTGACAAAATTACTAGAAATTAGCAGAGAGAAGGAATCAGCGATCCTATCAGACAGGTTAGAGTAGTAGACGTAAGCCATGTAGTATGAGTGAACAATTCTCTGTTCTCAGAGATCTATTTCTTTTTTTCTGCTGTATTGCTTATGATTTCAAGTTTCATGCTGTAACCAGTGCAGACGAGAAATTATCAGGCTTGGTTTTGACTTCAAAAATGTTTATCCAAACTACTGGAGTCTAGGATCTGGCTTACAGAAGAACAAAAAAAGCATAAGTATTTGATAAAATCATGGGAGAGTGAAACTGGATTTTGGTCTGAAAGGGAAAATCTTTTAGAGGGTTGTCCACTCAAGTGAAAATATATTATTTTCTGTGTAACTCATGGAAATTAAACTGAGCAAGAAAAAAATATATCACTATTTTCATTTTGAAATGAGGATCATAGTGCAGTATGTTTCTGCACCCATGTACTCCTGTATTTCAGTGGGGACTGGTTACTAATCTCTTTAATATTCCCTTGAATTATGAGCTTATATAGACTCGGTAAAGTAAAATAAACTGTTAGGTTGATTGCAAGCTTCAAATGATTCCTTCTTTGCTGAGGAAGGTGTATAATTGTAATCATGGCCATATGCTCAGCAACAATCTTCCATCTTTAAAGTTTTGTGTTAAAGGATAGTGGCACTTTAAATTGAAATGTTTGAGTGACGTGAACTTATAAATATTCCCTTAGACTGAAAATACATTGTCTTCTTCTTATAAGTAATAGTTTCTCTGGAATTTTTAGAATATTTAGAACAGACTGTAAGAACTCATTGACATCATTAGGAATATTATCATTGATTAAAGTTATAAAAATACTACCTTTTTAGGTAATTTGTGTCTGTAGTTTATGAGTTTATCTTACTGCTCAGCCATAATGATGCAGTACTCAAAACCCATTGAAGCGTTCGTGTCTGTTTGCATACACGTCTTGGTCAAGTTACGTGTTTCTAAAACTCTGTGTCTATCTATATAGAGAAGCTCTGGATGACAACTTAAATAAATGTGTCTTGGAGAAAAAAACCCAACATGATATTCTCATTCACAAGCAAATGCAGAAAGAGAGAGAACTGAGAAATTTAAAAAAGATGGAATTAAAACTGCATATGATTTATGATTCCTTGGAACAAGATAAGTCACAGCATAAAAGACTCAAATTAGAGGTCTGTGTGAATGCATTGATCATAAGGATTCTAAATTTTCTTGTAAAAAATCTGTCTATGAAACCTTTTGACTGGTCCTAAAAGGAAGAAGGGGAGAAGACTGTTTTGTCTTATGCACAGAAAAGTGTCAAGAGTATTGCTACAACTAAAAAAGAAACCTCTAGGTGCCCTGGCTGTAATAAACATACTGCATCAAGATATATTTGGACTATTCTCAAGAAATGGATTTTAGGTGTGAGCATCCTATCAAGGAGAACTGGGAGATTATATTGGCACTGTGGTGTTTTCTCTTCCTTTAAAGCACTGTGGAAGTGTGGTCCTTTATGAGCGAAATAATATAGTGACTTACCCATTGGCATCAAAGAAATCTGTATCAGAAAAATAGAGCCAAGTACTCCCTGGCTCCCAAATGATGAAAAGATACATCTTTTTAAAATTTTAAGGTTGTTTGTACATTACTGTAAGTATTTTATAATGTATTTAACATTATTCCAGGGGACAGGAAACTATCAGCATATAAAGTTTGGTATTATATAATATGAAATAATTCCCTATGTTCTCTTTGTTTCCACTCAAATTTCACCTTCCTCGTTTCCTCCCTGCATTAGTATTTCACCCATTCCTCTTCCCATACTGATTTACTCTCTTCTGTTTTATTTGTGCCTCTTCTATGTTGATTTTAAAGGGCAGTATCATTCTCCTTCTCTATTCAAAGCATTTCCTTTCTTTTCTCCTTCCAATTCTTTCTTTGAAATTTACTTTGTCTACAACTTTTTTGTGTTCTGTTCCTCTCATTACTGGTTCTTCCATTCTCTCTTTCTTAAGCTTTTCTCCTATATTAGCTCCTTGCTTAATCTAAATTGTATGTCATTCTTATAAAATTAATCTTTGCTTAATCAGGTGAATATTTTTTCAAAGGACTTGATGTTTCCTACCTTGACACAGTATCCTTGAAATTTTTCTTGGTCATTCTAAGCAATTCAGGGCAGAAAAAAAAATCTTATTCACATCATTGTAAAGTTTTTAAAAACAACTGTATGATATCAAAACTCATACATACTTAGCTTTGCTATTTAAACTACTCTAAACATTACTCAGTAGTATTTAATATTATTAAATAATACAATTTTTTTCTGTCTGCCCTGAAATTCTTCCTGAATTCACATGTGTATTAATTACCTAGCAATATAAGCCCACCTGGGAGGAGGAAGGAAAGCTCTGTAACTACACAAAAAAATTTTAGACTGAATTTCCTGAAATACTAATTAAGGGGCTGACTCGTTTTCCAGACTTTGATCTTAAAGCTCATACTGAGTTTCTGTTCACTATCAGCTAAGAGCATCTGGGAAATGTATTTTTTCCTGTGTTCCTCCTGAAGAAATAATCCTGGGGGGAGAACCACAATTGTTCAAAAGCATGTAATGCTAAAATCAAATGCCATAACTCACCGATAGCTGTGGTTAGAGCTCACAGTCCTGGGTGAGATCCAAAGCCAACCCAACCCCTTCACACTGCGAAAGGGCAAGACCTTGTAATGAAATCCTTAAGGTTAAGTTGCATTGCAAAGGATTCCCTCAGTGCTAACGTGAGGTTATCCTATAGGTTTTTATGTGTCTTGCAAGTAGCATCATCATAAGGAGTGGGGGAAGGGGATGCCAGTAGAGATAGAAATGGAATTCTAAGCAGTATTTTACTCCAGAAGTTGCAGGATGCTGCCCTAATGCAAACAGGCCATGGCACTGTGGTTGTTTGAGCTCATCCTCCCATGCTCTGTGTTTCCTCCGATTCCTTTCTTGTCTCTTATAGAAGAGAAAATGTGAAATCACCCCTCCTCTGCTGCATGGTCAGTGCAAATGCAGCACTGGAGTATGAAAGACTAGAGTGGCAGGCTTGATTCTGCTTGGCTTTTGCTATCTTGAAACTCTTTTAATTTGGAAGACTTGGGAGCACACTTAGGAAAAGTTAAAATATTTTAAGTAATTGAAGTTCCATTAACTACTTTAAAAGCCAGATTTACAGTTATTCATTCTGATTCCAAGTGAAAAATTCACAAGAATTAATTGCTAGCATAAAAATGTCGTTGCGGAAGCAGCAGTACATCAGTGTGCTTCCCCAAATTTCTCTTACTTTAAATCACGTGCTAAGTGCAGAATGACTGGTTAGTAGAATAAGGAAATTACAGGAACACTTCCTTCAAATGTGTTTTTCTTCTTAGTAAGTTGTGAAAGGTCAGCTATTGCTAAACGCCGACATTCTGTGTGAAAGAGAACTGGCCGCTCTGGCTGTTGCCAGCCCAGAGCAGAACTGCTGTTCCTCTCCATGCATGCCTTCTCTTCGGGCAGGCCAACACAGAGACAGCCAAAAGTGCCTAAGTTTAGTCATGTCTTATGTGAACAAAAGTCCTTAATGGATTAAAGATGTTTTTATGAGCTTTCTACTTTTAGACTCAAGAACGTGATGGCATCTTCAGAATCCCATCTTGAAAATGTGGAAATGCCCACTTACAGACACTACAGCCTTTTACACAGCAGGAGTGGTAACTAACATATGCTCCACAGAAAAGCTGGGTTTGCTCCTTCCACGGGAGTGAAAGTAATTTGCTTAGAATAGGTTTTATTGACCTTTTAGCAAACCTAAGTCAAATCAAATCTCCGAGTTGGCAGCTGAAACCAAAGTAAATCCACAGGTTGACCACTATTGTGCCTGTTGTTTCCCTTTCCCTTAATGCAAGTGAAAAACATCTAATTTGATAATATTATCACAGAAGTGAAAACCATAAGTGCAAAACATCTCATTATCTAGAGGTATAGTGTTTTGAACTCTCATGTCTGGTTGAGATCTGAGAAAGACACCACAAGGTTGCGTATATTATCTTTGAACAGCTTCCAGATGTGTCATTCACTGTCATTTTTTCCCCACCTGTATGAATTACAGATTTGCAATTACAGCCAGGCAATATATGCCTGCATAGTTAGCCTGCTGTGTTTATTTCTTACTTAAACCATAAAGAATTTTTAAGTTAGTAACTGTGAAGCCAACACAACCTTTTGCCTTACAAGTTATATCATGCAAGTAGTTGTAGAGGGATTGTTCAGATATATTTCAGTCAGAAGGTAGTTTCTAATGTGCCTTCCTTCACACACTTACTTTTAAAATCTGATTGAATAAATGAATTTTCCAATAATGTACAAGAAAAAATAGTACATAACTGTGGTGTTAGTTCTGACTTTCTAGAGCCTAAGGAGGAAACAGGAAAATCCTACTTTAATAACGAAAAGCAAAAACCATATCAAAGCTACACAGATGTGACTATATTAAAAGCAGTGGTAGATACATTTTTTTCCTTCAGTAAGGTCAGAATATAACTCAGAAAACCCTCTGTGAATTTAGGTGACTTCTTTACATAGTCTCTCTTTGTGATTTTTGCTTTTTTTAATGACAGCTTAGTTGCTGAAAAACATAACCTTTGTAAATTCACTAACTTAAACTGGGCTTGGTGAAGTTTAGTGTTTATAATTAAATTCTTAAAAATTTTAGAAACTTGGATATGTTTCTGAGGAACTCTTCTCAACAAAGAAATCTTGGACTAGCTATTGTAACAAGACAGAAAATTAATTTCTTAATGTGTGTAACTACTTCAAATATATTATCTGCAATTTACATTTTTCACATTTTTTGTTGGCATCACTCGGTGTGCTTGGTTTATTTTTGTAGGCAGAAGCCATCCCTAAAAGTAATGGATTATTATTAGAAAGACGACGTGAACTGCAGAAGGAAATTGAAATGACCAAGAGAAGTTTAGCCAAACAGGTGCCGAGTTCTGCTTTCTCATACTTTTTCACTGTAACAGTTAGTTTTCAATCATGAGAATAAAGGGACTGTTTGAAGAAAAAATGATGGGAGTTTCTAGCTGCAGCTTTCTGGAGAGAAAACACACGATGGTATTTGTTCAGTTTTAAAGAGCACTTGTTTGTCATATTTAAAAAATTTTTTGGTGTTACTAGTCACATATTGGAAGGCAGAAAGCAAATCTGCTTTCTAGGTTAAGTCGTTCTGAATATCATTAACTACATTACAGATAGAAATATGATTGGTATGAATTTCCTTTGGATATGGCACAGTGTCTTGTTGAAACAAGGACAAGTCAGCATTTGTACATTATAATTTTTCATCTTTATGGTTTTGTCATTTGTGGATGTCTGTTTATACTCAGCACAGCCATATATAGTGTGGAAATGCAGATGTCTCAGTTATGACAGTATTAGTACTTGCCACTATATAAATGACTATAAGAAGCAATGTATTTCAGACATACCTTCTTAAGATCATAACTCCTATCTTCTCACCCTTATATGCATTTTCTTTTTATGCTCTCTTTGAATTTGTTAGTGTTATGAGCTTGTGTTTGAATACATATGTGTTCAGTATCTACATGTCACTATTTGTGTGTGGGATATGTGTATAATGTGCCATATAGTCAATAACAGTCTAGTCATGTCATCAGTGGAGCCTAGGAAGCCATCCATTCACCTCCTCCTAAAGAGGTTAGCCTACGCTGGGTAGAGCAAATAGCTTTTTAGAGTTTACTGACTGTATTGACTGAATCTCCAACAACTGTAGGCGTCTAGATACTTTGCTCTGTTTCAAATGCCTAAATTTGGTCCCTTAATGTGAAAGCTCGGTGTCTTCCACTGTGTAGTATGGACATCTCAAGAGCTGACAGTAAACTTATTTAAAGGTTATATGGCCATAAGGAACCATTCTGCCCAATGGGCAATAGCTGAAAGACAGGCTAGACTAAGGAACAGAAATGCTTCTAGGTGATAAATTATTTCGACATGTTATTATAGGGATTGTGCACGGTATTTCAGCAGAATCGGGTATTTTAAAGCAATATATATATTTTTTTTTTAATCCATATAGTCTGAATATATGTTCACTTTGTAGATAAACCCAAAGTATTTCCAACTTTGAGTTTGCCAACACTGATGCATCGATGCATAAGGAATTGAATTTAATTCTCTTTAGGAAATGATATCAGATATGGATGCCCACGTTCTAGAAGAATGTATTGCTGAAGAACGCCGACTTTTCAAAGAGCAGGAAAAATGCAGAGACGAGTTATCCAGACTTGCACATCTGACTTGGCTTAAAATTGAAGAGAAAGAACAGAAATCTAGGGATGTTCAGAAAGCCCAGGTAAAAAAAAAATTATCTCGTATAATTGGAAGACTCTTCTAAAGTAAAAGCAAGTATATGGACAAATGAAATGACTAGTGAGGAGAGCACTATGGACTCTCATTTCCCACTTTACTTTGAAGTTCCATTACAGCACAGGAAGCTCACAATAGTCTGTTGTTTCATTGGCAATTTGTGGTGCAGTGCAATAGTATATTAAAATATCATTCCACAGTTGAAACAAAGTATTTGAAAGGACATTTTCTTTCAAGTCTATGGAATAAAGAGGCAGAAAAGCAGGTATCCTCAACTGAGATTCTTGGAAGTACAATTATGTGTTCTATTTTTACAAATATATAGACATTAAAAGATAAACAGAACTGCTACTCATGCCAAGGAGAGGCAGCAATTTTTATTTTCCTGACACATTTCCAGATGTAAATTGTTATATTAATGTGAAGAAAGATGGAAGGAAAACTTTTCCTATGGTCACAAAAACTAGGACTAGTCATTGAGTTTGCTGCCTACAGTTTGCTGGCATTGTAATATCATATATGTGCTGTGATGTTGTACAGTTTATACTAACTACCAGGTTTGTATATGGGAATGAACTATTTATGCTTCCACAATGTATGTCTGTATTCAAATAAATTAGATAAGCTACCCTTCTAGCACTTTGGGAATCTTTGACTGTCTATAAAAATAAACAAACATGTCAGGCTTTGCACCTTCAATAAAAATCATTCCATAAAACAGATCAAAAAAATAAACAGTACAAAGTAATGAACACACACATGCCCAGAGTTGCAACCCAACATCCACCAGCTTATTTATACTAGTCTCCTCCTGATACCAGTGGGAGGTGAGAAAAGGCCTGTCCCTTGAAGGTTCATGACTCAGGCTCTTATTAAAGACTGAACACAACTGAAATCAAAAGGTCCAGAGCCATAACAAAATGTAAATGTACCATTCTACTCAAGCATCAGTGATTGCTAAAGCCAGAAAAGAGTAAAAATGAAATTTTACTTGAAAAGCTACAATTTCGGTGGTGCATATGCCAAGTAATTATATAGTGATGGAACCAAGAGGATGATTAATAGAAACAGCAGAACTCCAGCTACAAGAGACCAAGCATTTTAAGGTGCAGCATCAAATTATCTGCATTAATAACAGGCATTGTAAGCTTAATATACACAGAAAGATTGTATTCTTTAATGCTGTTGCAGTAAAAGCATTTCATTATAATTAGAATAAGTTCTTAGAATAATCTTGCCTCATTGTCTTTTCCTCGTCTAGGAGGAATAGCTGCTCTGAGTTATTTCTTTGAAGATATTTCTTTGATGTGTCTAAAGTGCTCACTGAATTCTATTTAAATTTCAGATACAACTCCAAAATATTATTAAAGAAATAAAAAGAAAAGATCTTGAAATAAGAGAGTATCAAAAGAGGAGCAGAGAAATCCAAAAACAGTAAGAAAATAATAGTAACAATACATTAGCTAAAAATGTCTTTTAAAGCAATTTTTATCCAAATAATGCATGCCTAAAATCATAATAATTATTTCTTTCACACTTGTCATTTCCTCAGACTCCAAGGATTTGCTAAAATGTATGATGCTATCCAAAATGAAAGGAATAAATGTATAAATTTGGTGCACATTGCTCAGCAGAAAGCAAATGAAATTAAAAACCGGGTCAAGTTGCTAGGAAATGAAATAGAAAATTTAAGGAATATTGTAACAACCAAGGAAAGGTGAGTTTTACGTAAGCTGTAGATCACAATGATAAAAATGTAAGATTAGAAAGACTCTTAATAGATAATCTAGTCCAACTTCAGCTATGCCTATATCATCCTTGATAGTTATTATCCTGATTCAAAGACATTTAGCAACACCCTTACATAATCTGTTCTAATTTGTTGTCACCCTAACACTTCACAATTAGCCTGAGCATCACTGCATGGCATGAAGCATTTTTGGAGTTTGTCAGCATACTCTCTCACTTTCCTGTCCTTTGAAGGGATAAATTGTCATTGCATTTCCTTTGTATCACAGTCTTGATCCTCTAGTACGCGCATTATCACGCTAGGACAAGGGGTGCTGGCTTTAAACTGAAAGAGGGTAGATTTATATTGGCTATAAGGAAGAAATTCTTCACTATGAGGGTGGTGAGGCACTGGAACAGGTTGCCCAAAGACGTTGTGGATGCCCCATCCCTGCAAGTGTTCAAGGCCAGGTTGGATGGGGCTTTGAGCAACCTACTTTAGTGGAAAGTGTCCCTGCCCATGGCAGGGGGGTTGGAACTAGATGATCTTTAAGGTCCCTTCCAACCCAAATGATTCTTTGATTCTATGATTCTATTTCATTCAATATGAACAACACTGTTGTACTCACCCTTGCTTATCCTTAGACAAAAAGAGGTCCAAAACATGTGATTCCACAATGTACTGGTGCATGGTACTACTAAATGAGTCACTAGCTAGTAATGCGGCTGTCTAATTAGAACAAACTGGGTTGCTTGGTTCAAACTCAAACTGAAGTTTATTGGATAATGTTTATTTCAGATCAAACAAAACATGGTTTCAATTTCCAGGCAATCCTAGTCAAAATGAAAGGTTACAGTCACAACAAAGAGGATGAGGTGGACAGATGGTGCATGGGACTCTTTTTTTCCTAGACCATTATTTAATGGAGATATCTTTTTGCCTTTTTTTTGTCATCCCAGTGATGATGTTCTGCAGTATAGACAGAACCACAATGTCTCTGAAACCAATAGTTGGGAAAGTAGGAAGCTAGTGAATAGTTAACTGTGCATGCAAAACAGCACAGCCAAAACCGAGTAGTTTAAAAATAATTTGATTTTCCCAAAACTTTTTTTTCAGTGCCAAAACATTGCACAACCAGGCCAAAGGAAGGCATTCAGGATATGTTCACTCAAAGTATATTGTGAATCTCCTAGCAGCTTGATTTCAAAGTCATGGTAGCTGGAGGTAGCTAGAAAAGAAGTGGAACTGCAGTGATTCAAATGATTTTGTCAAGATGCACAAGCTGACACTTTGTGCTAAAGTTTTTGAGACCTTCCCTATTAGTTACTGGTGAAAGGAGGGAGGGAAAAAGCTAAGACTGTTGTATATTGTCTAGATGGCAAAAATATCTAATTATCGTAGATGACCCTACTCCAGTAAAGATCCAACAGGCATCTTGATCTCTGCAAACCTAGATTTAAAATTAGCAAGAGGTACTGAATTATCAGTAATTCTCTTGCTTATGGAAAATATTTTTAATCCAAGTAATAGACTTTAGTATCATACTATCACTGACTTCATCCTACACAATTTGGAGGACAGAGTATCAGTCCAAATAAGAGAAAGGTTTTTCAGAAAATATTTAATCACACATTGCATTTCTGCAATACTGTCATGCTTTCAGTCTGAAACTTGCTTTATAGAACTTTAATTCAATTCAGTAATACCCTGTGGGACTGGAAAGTGTTACACACACAAGGGAAATAAAGCAGAAAGCAGCTCACTGCTTGTACAGATTAATTCGGCAATGCAGTGATGGAGCCCACGAGGGGCGGCAGGACATTTCATCTGCAGTTCTGTATTTTAACAGGAGATTATGCTTCTCCTTTCACTACCTCTTTTGTATGTTGACGTGACTATCTCCCTGGTGTAGATAGAGTAGTGATACTTGATCAAGAAGTGATACTTGCCACAATCAAATGCAGTAACTCTAAGTTCCATGTTGTGAGCAAATGAATGATCTGTGTGGCAACAAGAATCTGTATTTTAAGTGAGGGACCATCATCTAGTAGCCAGCAAGGTCACTGGAATTGGTGAGTTCTGTTCTTCTTTTTTGTGGGTCTGTAATGTGACCTTGTCACTAACCTTTCACTGTGATTTTTTTTTTCTCATCTGTCAAACAGGGGAACTGATAATTTTCTTTTTTGTGTGAATGTTGTCATACACGGTTTTATAAACAATAAACTTGGAGACCTTTGAATCTCAAGCACAGAATTATTTAAACATCACTCTTTAAACAGAAGGGCAGGATTTCTACACATTTAGGCTTTGCATCACAGTTTATGCTTCTCCTCTTGAACTTTCTTTCTTACATAGCCTTGGGCTACTCAGTGGAGATGAAAAGAGGTGTAGTGCTGTGCTCCCTTCATAGCATTTTTGGGGGCCATAATCCAGGTCTCTTCAAGCTGGAAACACCTTGCAGAGAGAAGCTGTTCTCAGAGAGTCTTCCTACTTCTTGTAATGCTTCTGTGAAGCAGAGTGACACAGAAGATCGTGTATTTCAGGAATTAGTTTAAGATCTGCTTTTATTTGCTGAAAGTGCTTTCAAATTGAAAGGACTGAAAACTTTCCTACTTTTCTGTTATGTTAAAGAAAATTGCAGAAACAACATCTGAAGAATACAAATAATGTAGCAATTACAGACAGTCTCAAAAGTGATTATTGCAAAATTGTACAAATCATACACGAGATGAAAGAAAAGAAAAAGCAACGGTGTCTGGATCTTGAGAGGCTTACCCATACGGTCACCCACATTGAAGAGGAAATGGGGCAGCTACGCAAAAAATATCAAAGGGCTATTCAGCAACGAAATGAGAGGTATACATGTAAATTTGATGTAGTATAGAGTTTAATTTTGACACTCATGAATCAACAATATTTTTCAACTTCTGAGCACTCCAAATTAGGAATACTAAAAGACTGTCTCACTCCAATGTTTCACTAAACGGTCTGCCTCACTGCAATGTCAGAGCTGCTTTGCATTACACAGATGTTTTTTCTCCATTCTGAAGATGTTAATTCTTCAGAATTAGTATTAAAAATACAGTAGATTGGCTACTGAATGCCTTGAGAGCTTGTAGCTTCCTTCTCTGTGCCTTGTGCACAGATAAGGTATAAAAATGCAGAAGATGTAAAGCTCCCTGATCATGTTAATCCATTTTTAAATGAATGCTGTGGAAAGCCAGAAGAGCTTTTAAAATTATATGAGAGACTAGATCAATCTTTACAATTGTTTGTTCTGTAATTTCATATCGTAATGATTTTGTTATCTATTTAAAATGTTGTCGTGATATTAAAATAATATTTGTGAAACCTTTGCACATTTTCACAGATTATTACTATCTTTCAAGGTTGCCAGTTATGTTTTTGAGTGGAATGCACTGAATATGAGTCAATCTTTTAAAAATTTTACCTTTTCATTTTGGGCTTATTGCAGTGGTCTTCTGCTCAGAAATCGAGAAGAAGAACTATGCATTTTATATGAAAAACTAAACATGCAAGAAATGTTGTGTAGAAATGGAGATATTGAGATGCAAGTTATGGACGAAAAGATCAGATTTCTGAAGCTGAAGGTAGCTGAGAAAAAGAGACAGATTAAATTGTGCTTCAAAGCTCTCCCAGTGAAAAATGCCCTGGATGAACATCTGGTGGTACTTCAGATACAGGTTGGTGGGAAAGAAAGCCTTTTTTTTGTTTGTTTGTATTATTCTGTATTTTAAAAGTTGATTTCATAGAAAAAAAATTTCTTCATGTACGATGTTTATTAAAACAGAAAGTTCAATAACACACCTGTCTAGCAAAGCACTGATGCTTGCTTCCAACTTCAGATACGTGAGCTTTTGTGTAGCTGGCTGATACACTTTGTTATGCACGTGCCAAACGCTCCCTGCGTATGGAATCTCAGCTAACCCTCCTCATAGCCTGAAATGTCAGTATGACTAAGCTGGAGAATGGGAGTCATGGGGGAAAAATGGGTATGTAGATAAAAGTTGTGTAAAACTCTATTGATGGGGGTAGGTGGAGGGGTGGGAGATATACTTAGCTCTTCAAATTTCTAAAATAATAACTTGATTCACACTTGACCCTGAGCCTACTCTGGAAACTCTGCTGCCTACAATGATATAATCCACATACATTTTCTTCTACACAAAAACAGTGTAAGTTTTAGTTCTAGTTACAACATGACATTAAACAACTAACAAACTGCAGTGTTCATCATTGTTTGGGACATTCTTTCCTTGCTTTCTGAAATGGCTCATTTACTTTTGACCTTATCTCCAGATGGTAATTTTTTCCATACATATTCTGTTAGTGTCTGCACAAAATCATAAATTAGGGTGTACCACTGCCATTTGTAATTGCATCGATGGGAGCTGTGACTCACTGTTAAACAGTGCTTGCACTTTTCTGTTACGTCTGGTCTTTTAAAGAAATTGTATGCTCTGCTAGAAGAATACAATGTTATACAATACCATATGCAAGTTGTACCCCAAAGAACTTTACAGTGCCATTACAGTTTTAAATGATGAACAGAGGGAGTATGAAAAAAAGATGATAGACTAAAGAAAAAAAAAAGAGATGTTTTCAGGTAAGATTTAGAATGAGACAGAGAGTCACTGAGTCAAATACAGTAACAAAATGCAGATGATTTTTGTGAACTGACAGGGTCAATCATGAAACTTTGATTTTTCTGTTTTGCGTTCCTAAAGCTTTCTCCTTTGTGGTGATGGTTCATGTGAAGCCTGGAGTCAACATTAAAGGGAGGCTATTGCTACAGGTGCTTTGAATCTTTTTGCAATATTGACATAAAATTAAAAATAGGAAAATACAGAGTGGTGTGATATTACACATGGAGTAGTCTTAATTGATGTTCCCAAGTCAGAGATCTTCCAGCAGACAATGGCAAATAACCAGTTATCAGCCTTTAAAATGTAACTAGATACTGTGGTTACCAAGTATTAGGTAGTTCAAACTGGCTGTTAACCCAGCCATCTCCTTATGCTCAACCATTCTAGCATTAATACTCTTCCTCCCACTGCCAATAGCCATTATGTCTAGTGAGAAACAGTTTCAAATTTTTTGGCTTTATCTCCATGATTAAATAAAAGCCGTAAGCCTGAGTCTGAATTCTGCTGTTAGTTGCCAAATTCATTATTCATTAATTATTCCAACACCTAGACCTGCTGAGCTGTCAAGATGCTGTAATGGGACTTTCATGCCTCGGAGTTCAACTAATGTAACAGGGAGCTACAGTTTTGTCGAGGCATTTGGCATCACCCTTTATCCAGGTTTTAATATAACCCCATGAAAATCTCCAGACTACATCATTGCAATCATAGAAAAATGGTAGAGAGGTAAAGAATTTATCTAGGCAATCCTACTCCTACTCCAGCCTGTCATTCCTGAGAGGGCCAAGCCTGTGCTTTCAAACCGCCACTGGGAAACTCCAGTTTCCCCAGCAAGCTGTCCCAGTGCTTCCTTAACAGTGGGAAGATTTTCTTAACTGTTAGCCTATTGATTGGTGTTCTCTCCACCAGGGACGTGACAAACGGATCATACTCTTCCTTCCTGCAACGTTTCATGTTACTGGAAGAAAGTTAATCATGTTCCCCTCCCAGCCTTTTGCTAGGCTACACAACCCCGTTTCTTTCAATCAGGCCTTACAGATTTCTTGGACCATTCTTTTTTTGCATTTCTTTTATTTTTAGAACTTGGTCTTTATTATTCTTGAGTTGCAGTGCCTCATATCAGTGGCTCAGAGTGAAAGGATTCATTCAGGCATCTTGCAGG